AAATACTGTATATATATTTTAGTAAATATAACTGTCTTTATGTCTGTTTCCACTTGTAAGATTATTTCTTTTACCTAAAGAATACCAAAACTGGTTGTCTTAATTTTAAGACAAGAGATGCTGATGCCTTGGGCCAGGGTGGTGGTGAGGGATACATCAGTGGGATGGGGTCAGAATCTGGATATATTCTGAATGTAGAACCAAAAGGATCATCTGTAATACCAGATGGTAAGTATAACAGAAAGACAGAATGTCTTAGCTCAGGCTGCTATAACAAAGTACCACAGATTAGATGACTTATAAACAACAGAAATTTATTCCTTATAGTTGTGAGGTCAAGAAGTTGAGATCAGGGTGCCAGCATGGTTGGGTTCTGGTGAAGGCTCCCTTCTGGGTTGCAGACTGCTGACTTCTTGTTGTCTCCTCACATGATGGAAAAAGGCTGAGCTAGCTCTCTGGCCTCTTCTTCTAAGGACACTATCCCATTCATGTGGGCTGCCCCCTAATGGCCTAATTACCTCCCAAAGACTCCACCTCCTAGTACCATCACATGGGGGAATAAATTTCAACATAAATTTTGGGGGGACACATTCAGTCCGTAATAGAGAAGAAATGGAGAAAATAAATTGTCCTAGTATGTTAATAGTGAATGTTTGTCACTAACAAGAATAAAGAATATTAGATGATATTAGATGATATCTTTAATTTGTGGGTTGGCTCATTCAACAATAATTATCTAGTGTCTTCTTGGTGCCTGGGTGCGAGAGACACATCAGTGAACAAGATCGAAATCTCACATCTCAACTCACATCTAGCTTACATTCCAGAGGACGGAGACAAATTATACACACACACACACACACACACACACACACACACACACACACACACATATAATATGTCAGATGATAAGTACTGAAGGCTGGGAGTGACAAGGAAGGAGGATGGAAAATACCAGGGGGATTAATATGTAGCTAATTCTTAGAATTTATTAAATAATATATTGGGTTTATTCCTATGTCCATGTTTTTAAACAGCTTGATACTGGGAAATACATTCATTTTATAAATTTGACTACCAATAAGATAGACTATGGGTTACATACTTAGTATTTCTAGATTCTTCAGAATATCAGAAAACAAGAATTAATAGTGCCATTAGTAAGGGTAGTGGCCCTTGAGCACTTTAACAGTGTGCCCAGTAAGGATAACAAAGAATACTTTAGAAATGAGTAGTAGACTGTCGTTGGTTAGACAGTAGTCATTGCAGGCATTTGGGTTTAGACATCTCCTTAGTATCACCTCTATTTAACCTACTCAGGTTGTCCTCATTAGGGCTTCTCACTTAGAACGCTATTATAGCAATCATATACTGTATTTTTAGCATCTTATATAAACTTCCCCACAAATGCCCAAGTTATATAACCACCTCCCCAACCCCCACTCCCACTCCCACCCCCGCGGGCTTTCTTCCAGCCTCTCACAGATTTACAGTAGGGTGAGGACATGTATGTGTGGTGGGGTGTCCCTGTCCAGTGATTGCAAATGCTCATGTCCCAGAGATCCATTCCCTCCCCCGGAATAGGGCTGGATGCGCATCAATAAAGTGTGTTTCTTGATACCCCCCTCTTCTATTCTCAGCCTTCACCTTCTGCTGTTGCATTCTCATCAGGTGTCACATTGCTGTGTTTCTGAGACCAGGAGATTCTCTGCCTCCTCTCCTTGTGTTCAAACAAACCCCTAGTGCTTGGCTCCAGAAGCAGATGGGACCTTAGAAATAGTTCCAGTTCCCTCTTTTTACAGATGGCAAATTTCTTCCCATAAATGCAGTTAATTACAATACAGGTGTCTGGATTTCCTTAAACCAGCAGCTTCTCAGATCTCAATTTTCTCATATATATAAAATGAGAGGTATGAAAAGGGGGTCTCTGGAGCCCTTTCCATCTGTGTATGATTTACAGAAATGCAATTGGGTATGTACTGTTTATATGAAACTTTCTAGTTTACTGTTTTCAAGGCGTTAAGTAGAACATTATCAACAAAAATGAATCAGGAAGGACACATAATTTTGCTTGGCTCTTTCCAGCTTAAATTCAGTCTCTCTTAATGATAAGAAAGTGAAGAAACAAATGGTAAATTCACCCACCGTGAAAAAAAAAAAAAAGAGGCTCAAATACACATCTTTGGCTGACTTGTGTACAAGAAAAGCCCTGTGTTGTGTTATTCTTAAAAAGGAGTTTACCTAACTATATCAGGAAAAGTCTTATGGCGTGGCAGTGGGAGAGATAGCAGGCAGTGATGGTGATAAGCATTTTCCAAATTAGGAAACAGATATGCTTTTCTTCTTACTCTCTTACATAACCGATCTATTTTAGAAGACAACACTAAAAAAAATTGAAATGGAATACAAATCTCATGATTTTACTACTTTGTTAACAAAGAATGACAAAAGCAAGTAATGTTGGAAGGAAGAGAGAAAAGAGCCCTTCACCCCACTATATTCCTCCTGGCCCGGGGGCTGTTTTGTGGGACCCCTTCTTCACCTTCTCTCCTGGGTGAGTCAGGGAGCAAAGTCTAAATTTTCGAAAATGAAGAAGGATAGTAATTTTTCTTCCCTTTGAATTTAAAAAGCAGTCACATCCAAGTGCAACTTTTTGGTGGCACAGAATGTCTGATGAGTGACCTATTATAGTGCCAGTGCCTGCTTTGCTTAGACTTCCTGATTCAGAGGGAAGTTGTGCAGCATACAAAAGGCCACAGTGGCAGTACAGCCTCTTACATAAATAAGTTACATAAATGAGAACACGTTATGTAAATGTATAAACCAGCAAACATGAATTATAACCATTCACAAATGCCAAGGAGAATATGGCAAGATTCTTCCTACAGTCCCATTTTTTTCTCCCCTCACATTATCATAATTGTGCCACTTTATCTCACATCAGAATCAGATGTGGTCACTTATCATATTTATTGCGGAAAGAAACTCCAAAGGACAAATGATACTTCACATTATTTTCTGAACCACATATTTTACTTTTGGCGGAAATTCCATAATAAAACCTGATTAAAACTCTATTTGAAAAGAAATTTATGAGTGTCTATCAATTTATTATACTCCTTGTATAATCATGAACACATTAAACATTTACTATTACACATTTTGCAAGCTGCTGTTAAAGGCAAGAATGCATCACAAAAGCGAATGTGCATGTCATATGAATATTGTTATACTACTTATGATTTCGGGTCTCAGCTGATTACGTGGGCATCCAACTAAAGTCATTATTCTTCTTGTTGCGGGAAGGTAGCAATTTAGGGGATTAAGGTTAGAGTTGAAGTTATGCTCATGAATTAATCCCAATGCTTCCCACACCAAATGATTAGGAGGTGCTTCTGGGATCTAGCTGCAATTTGCTTCAGATGCAATGTACATGATAAATGAACTTGTTTGTCTCTGCACCCTGTTGGAACGGGAGCCTTGGCTTTTTCTCAGCCGACTCTTTTTTTTTCCATTCCCTTTGGGGTAATATATTTATAACTTTTCTGAAGTTACATGATTTGCCCATTGTGTAGTAAAAACATGTAACTCAAAACATTTTTGAGTTTTAATTGCCTGTTGTGTATAAAGAGGGATATTAACTAAACGTTAGCCAATTTCAGACATAGTGTGCTCAGGTTAACATTCCATTTAGTAACTTCCTTCCCCTTGAAAAGCTCATGTAAAATATTTCTAAGAAATACCACATATTTTATTAAATATTACATATTATTCTAACATAGTAACATAATAGTGAAATGGGAGTTGGGTGATCTTAAAACCTCTATATGAGCTGTGTGATTTTGGACAAATAACGATCCATCTCTGTTTCCAACCATTTGAAAAAGAACTAAAAGTTCGAAGTCACTGCAAACATTAACAATCTAGTACCCTATAATCAAATCTATAAATATTTTCACTGAGAACTTTAAACTCGCTGCTTTCAAGTTTAAAGGAAACATAACCCATTATATATAAACCAGATCATTTTCTTCTGCCGGCAAAACTGCAGACATTGCTTGGGTTGTAGTGATATGATGACTGTCACGTGAAAAGCATTTTTCCTGGTGTCTTCTCTTTAAAAATACCAGATGTAGACTTCAGCCAGCTGTGGGGCAGTTCTTGCGGTGTGGAGACTACAGCTGGCACCTGGGAAACCTGTGGGCTTCCCCCATGGGGCGGGGGAGTACGGTGAGTTTTAAACAGGACAGGCAGCAGTAACTCGACGCCAGGAAAAACTGTCTTCCCCTGTGGAAGGAGGCACCTGGGGAACGTGGGTTTTCTGTTCGTGTCTTACGTGGACCTATCCTAGACCTGAGAAATCACAGTCATCGGGCTGACTGTGCTTTCCTAGGCCCTCTGCTTGGGCGTGTCCATCCGTAACCAGGGGCATAAACTAATGAAAATGCAAACCCGCACCTGACAGCGGAGACGCGGCACCGAGAGGCTCCCATAGCCGGGAGGAGGGGGCAGGTCCCCACCCAGGTGGGCTGGCACGTCGGGAGAGGGTGGGCGACTTGAGCGTCAGTGTTGCCAGGCGGGCCGCTCCATAGAACAGCCCCCGCCAAGCAGGGGCTAAGGGAGAGGCCACCGCAGGTGGGGGCGCCAGGCGGGGAGGCGAGAGGCGGACGAGGTTCCGGGCTCCTCCGGGCTTTGTTCCGTAACAAGCCAGGCCCTCCTTGACCGAGAAGCCAATTAAATCCCTGCTGGGGGAATCATCTGACCTCGCGTCCCCGCCAGGAGGGGCTCGGAAGGGGCGGGGCCGGGCGGTCGGCTCCGCGGGAACGCGGCCGCGGGCGGCGTGGGGGAGTCCCGGGCGCGGTGGCCAAGGCCGGCCCCGCCCCGCGCCGCCAGGCCCCGCCCCTCCAGCCCCCGCCTCCGGGGCTTCCCGAGCGCGCGCCGCCCCGCCGTGTCCGCGCGCCACGCCCCCCTGCTCACGGGCCGCGTGCGGAGCCGCGCGCCCCGGAGGCTCCGGGACCGTGGCGGCGGGCGGCGGTGGTGGCGGCGGAGCAGCCCTCCGCGGGCCATGTCTTCTCCGGCGGTGGCGAGGAGCTCGCCGGGAGGGAGTGGGGAGGTGGCCCCCAGGCCACAGAGCCGAGGCCGGTTTTGGGAAGTGGGCGGCGGCAGCGGCCACCGGCTGGAGCGCGCGGCCGCGGAGTCGGAGCGCTGGGAGCTGCTGCTCCGCCGCGGCGAGCTGCTGGCGCTGGGCGGCCACCTGAAGGGAGCGCTGGAGGCGTACGCGGCGGCGCTGCGCCGGGGGGCCCCGGTCAGGCCCGAGTGCCTCGGCACCCTGGTGGACTGCCTGGTGTTCAACTACCGGCTCCGCCACGGGCTGGGCTGGAGCGCCGCCCCAGCTGCGGGCCACGGCGGGCTCCTCAGCTGCCTGGGCTGCCGGGGATTCCTGAGCGAGCCGGTGACCGTGCCCTGTGGCCACAGCTACTGCCGCCGCTGCCTGCGGAGAGAGCTCCGCGCCCGCTGCCGCCTGTGCCGGGACCGGCTGCCGCCCGCCGCCGCCAGTGCCACTGATGCTGAGGGGACCGCCCCGCGTCCGCCGCCTCTAGCCGCCGCCATCGCCGCCTCGGACTTCAGAACCAGCGTCGTGCTCAACCACCTGGCCGAGAAGTGGTTCCCGGGCCAGCGTGAGCGGGCTCGGGCGGCCGGGCGGCTCGGGGAGCTGCTGCACCAGGGGCGCTACCGGGAGGCCCTGGCCGCCGCCTGCGAGGCGCTGCGAGCAGGTGACCGCGCCGGGATGCGGCGCGGGCCGGGTCGACCCCACCCTCCCCTCCCCGGCGGGCGGGGTACACAGAGCCTGGTGCGCCCGGGGAGGCTTCTCTGTTTCCCCGGGGCCCCTTGGCCCTCGGTGTGTTAGGTGTCGGGGTGCTCGGGGGTGTGGGAGGGGGCGGCGCCCCGGGGTGCTTCGGTCACAATGGGGATCGCCCTGGGAGCCGACTGTGACGCGGCGCGGGGAGGGGCGCACGGGCGCGGGGTTTCCTCGGCCGAGGCCTGGCGGGCGGGCGCGCGCGTCGGGCGCGGAGCGGGTGACCGGGACCCAGGCTGCCGGGGCGCGGGATGGGGTGGGAGGATGGGGTGGGAGTCCGGCGAGCCCGGGCGGCCGTTGCTTCCTGCCGCGCTCTTTCCGGTAATTGGCTCTCGGGCCGAGCCGCGGCGGGGAAACGACGGCTGGGCGGGGAGATGATCCCCAGCCGAAGCCAGGCGGGCGACGTTTACCTTCCTCTCCCCCAAAAGTCACCGGGACAATTGGAAGCCGCGGGAGGGCGGAATTGCATAAGCTGGGGGTGGGGGGCGTTGTGTAACGGGTGACGTCCGGTGGGCGTGGCGGTAGCCGGGCCGGCACTCAGCACCCAGCACCCGGGGGCCCCACAGGCTGCCAGCGTTGGGCGCGTGGCGGAGCTGCCCAGCGGTGGTCAACTCTTACCTGAAGATGCCTGAGGAGTTGGTTCCTCTTGAAAGTTTCGGCCTGCCTATTTCAAATCATACTCACTTCTTGTATACATATGTCCTTAATTTGGAATACATCTAGTTTATGGTAAAGCAGTAGGGACAGTCTCTGATCGAGAGTCTTTTTCACCCTTCTCTTTGCCTTTCCGCTCATGATCAAGTTGTGGTTAAAGGCCTTGTAGGTCTTCTGTCAGTTTTTTTCTCTTTGGGAAGCAGCTTCGGCCTCTTAAGCCAGGTTAGCACTTTCTTCAGGTGGTTTTAGGCTGTGAAACGGGGCAATGTCAGACTTCTCTTACGTAAGATGAAGAGTTATTCTTTAAATCGGTAGTGCTCTACCGGGGTATTTTACCTCCACTCTCTTAGGGGACATTATCTAGAGCAAGTCTGGCAATATCTGGAAACATTCTCGGTTGCCATCCCTCGTGGGGATGGTGCTGGTACCGACATCTAGTGGGAGAGGACAGCGATGCTGCTAAACATTCTTTGAGGCTCAGGATGGCCTCCCACAACAAAGAATTGTCAGGCTCCAAATGTCAGTAGTGTCACTGTTGATACACCTTGTGTTAAGCATATTTCAAGATTTTAGTGTCTGTATATTGGCATGAAATAATGGGGGAATAATCCCCAAGAAAATAAACAGATATCTAAAATGTTAACTGGTTTAAGTATTAGGTAAATTTATAAATTATGTAACTGAAAAAGTATCATCTTGTGGGGCTTTTACCCTAAGTGCTTAGTCATATTGAACTAGTGACAATATCTGGAGTTACTTAATACCATTAGAGGTCAAAAGCACAAACCCGACATATTTTTTGTATTCTTTCAGTATCCTTTTGAGTAGGCAGTTATAAAATAGAATGCTAGACCCAGAACAAAAAAAACTGTGTGGAATACAGAATTCTGATACAAATGACTCTGTCTCTGGAGAGTAAAGTTAAGAGAGAGGAAGCTGGACTTGGTTGCACAAACCACCTAGTAAGTGGCTCTGCTCTCGTTTTAAAAATGAGGAAGCAGAAGCCAGGCAGTTAAGTGACTTGTCCACAGTCACACACACAGCTAGCTGGTTGTACAGGCTGCACTGTATCCTCCACTTCTCCTAGATGTTGGTCTGGGGTTCATCCTGCTTTATATCTCATCCAACAAAAATGTTTAATATACATTTCCAATGAAATTTTTTTGTCCCTAGTATAAAACGGGATGAAACTAATCAACAGCACTGTTCAGTATTAACTGCTACTGATTTAGTGATTTGACCTTCTTAAATTAGATGCTTATTAAGAATTCAGGAGCTTGTCCCTGGAAGATCAGTGAGTACATTTGCTAATTAAGGTCTAACTTAACATTCTATGACCAATAATATTTTAATTAAGAGAGATTCTGGACCTTGGATAGAATATGTTATTTTTAACAGAAAAAGGCTCTGAAAGATCTACTCTTTCTCCTTTTTTCAAGTTTCATAGACTGCATATGGGAATTTTGCCCATTTAGCTACTTAATCCTACTTTTGCAGGACTAGAACCCAAGTCTCCTGACTTCCACATAATTAGCTTATTTCCCCCCATTTTTAGGTTGTTCAAAAATCATTTATTTCATACTTGAAAATGTCTGAATGGTACTGAGAATGAGTGTTTTTTTATCTTTTGAATTCTTAGTGTGAAGTAGGAGGAAAAAGATCTTAGAGCTAACCAATTATTAAATTGGTAAAGGACAGATTTTAAGTGTTTCACAATTTGTAGGCATAAATAAAAATGTTCACTAGTAGAGTCCATCTATTTGTACAGTCGTTAGGCTTTAACTTCTTTGGAGTTGGCAAGTTAGATATTTGAAATGTATTTATATAACTGCACACTTGTAGTTATTAACGATACCGTCATTGTTGATAATGAAGAAGATCATCACTATAATTTCTTTATGTAATTCTTATAATGAAACAAGTAAATACTATTAACTAGAAAAAATGATCTAGTCTGCAGTTAGCCCACACACATCCAAACTTATGCTTGCCAGCAAAGGAAGGCTTGAAAACGTTTGCCAAACTCAGAAGTTTCCCATTGAGATTACATAAGTTTCTGTTGAATTGAAATATATTTAGATAACATTTAATCCATTGATCTTTTGGTATTAACTCTAAGATGTTTCATAACTTTCTTTTTAGTATTCAAGGCTATTATATAAAAGTCTTTTCTACATTGAATCTTTATACTTGAGTCTATTGAAATGATCCCACTATGTTATGCTGTCCTCCTTTTGTTTTTAATGGTTTTTACATTGATTGACTTGCCTCCTTCCTGTGTTCACCCCTCCCACAAAAGAATCCAACAGAACAGTATAATTTCCAGTTTGAGTTGGGTTAAAAAAAATAAAGGTCATAAGGGGGAGGATATTTTATTTAAAATAGTTGCAGAAGGAAAATTTCTTCTTTAATGTTAATTATATAATCCTCAACTGTTACCCAGAATTTTCACATTTTTGATTATCATTTCATCTTCACAGAGAATCCCATGGAGTACTATTATCCTCAGAAGGAAATCGAGGCACCTAGAGATAGAGATGCAGAGTGACATAGTGATTAAAACTCTGCTTTCTGGAAGCTGAACACCTGAGTTTGAATCCTGATGCAGTCTTCTATTTACTCTCTGACCTTGGGCATGTTGTCTAACCTCTCTGTGTTTTGGTTTCCTTATCTGAAAAATGAGAATGTCTCTACTTCATAGAGTTGTTGTGAGATTCAAAACACAGTAAGTGCTTTAAATGGTGCCCGACACAGAGTAAATGCCCAGTAAATATTAATTAAAATATTTTTAAAATGTAAAAGTTGTGTTATGGCTAGAAAATGATTTAGCTGAAATTGAAATCTAAACCTTGTGGTTTTAGGTCCTGTTCTGTTCTCTACTACCTGAATAATATTACCGGAGTAAAGGTTAAATCCTGATTCTAGGTTACACATGTTAATTAGTAGTAACATTTTAGCATACATCAATAAAATACAGGTACTGCAAAGCTTTAGTTACAAAAAGATTAGTCAGATTATAGGTAAATACTGAATATATTTAAAGAAACTCTAAAGGGTTTTTACTGTCTTTAGCAAATCTAGGTTAAAATGATATTCACATTTAATCAAAAAGTAATTTCCCCTTACCTGTGGTTTCCTTTCCATGGTTTCAGTTACCACAATAAGATATTTTGAGAGAGATGACATTCACATAACTTTTATTACAGTATGTTGTTATAATTTTTCTATTTTGTTAATCTCTCACTGGGCCCAATTTATAAATAAAACTTTATCATAGGTATGTATGTATAG